GAAGGAAGCAAGGAAATACATGTAACGCAGGTAGTAGTACGCGTATGGAAGGGCATGACAGAAGGCATTACTAGTAATGCAGGAAGTATTACCTGTATGGCAGGGCAGGCAGCAAGGCAATACACGTAAGTAGGCAGCAGTACACGTATGGGCAGGCGAAGGTGCAAAAATTCATGTTTTCGTAATTTCTTCCTGTGTTCGCGTGTGAAGTGTATTCTCTCGATCCATAATGACTAGTAAGGCTTAGGTGGACATAAGAAGGCTAGTGATAATAATAAATTAACTTTAAAACATAGAACATAATAAGTTTTAAAACATAAAATATAGAACTTTGGATCATGCCAAGAAGTGAGAGACAGAGGCTAACACGGGTGCCTGTGTCACACGAAACGACCCATGTTAAAATACTTACATGAGAACGTGCCAAGAAGCGAGAAATAGAGGTTGACATGGGCGCCAGTGTCGCATGCTATGGCCCGTGTCGGTCAACACGCTAAGAATTCTTATTTTTGGAATTTTAAGTGTCTTGGAGCATTAAGGGTATTTTTGACATTTTGGCATTGTTGAACGATGACCTAACAATATTTATTCCTATTTCCGAGAAGAATAAAAAGTACTTTTTGAATGATTGAAGAATTGCACGATGAAGGAGTGAGTTTGAAAAGTTTTGGAGACGGAGAATCTTTCAGGCGCGAAAGCAATTGAAGATCTACAAATCCAACTTTTGTGTAATGTCTAAATCTAGTATTATCATTGTTGTTCTTTTAAATTCTATGAGAAGCTAAACCCCCCAATGCTAGGGGGTGTCCCTAATTTTCCATGGCAATGATACTGATATCTTTGTTTTATCAACATATTAGTTCTTTTTCATTAATTTAATTGTTTCAGATTATAATATTGTTTTGTCCTGTCGGGCCAATGGAGTTTACTTTTCCTAACACAATAGAACTGGACAATCGTGTTAGGGTTTTCTGAAATAATTATATTGTAAAATATTGCACTTAGGACTAGGGTAATCCAATAATAACCAGATAAATTCTTGATAATCAAATGCTTGACTTCTTCACTAATTTGACTGGATATGGAAATTAAGACAGAAGGATAAAGGTTTTTCACTAAGGACTTAGGAAAAAATAATCTTAAGAATTGGTAGTTGAGGTTAATGAACTTGTTGAAAAGACCAAGAGTCAAAGTCATCAGTTGTCAAATTATACACTTACCCCTAGCATGTTACTCATTATTATAAAAAGTCATAATTTACTTTCTCCTCATATTAGTATTCTTAAAGTTCAAATCCCAAATTAAAACCCACCATATTGTTTTTGTTTAATTGAACCACGTATTCACTAGGTAGTCATACGCAGTCACCGAGATCGATATCTTGAGAAATTCCCACTATTACTACATCGTGAAAATAGTACACTTGCTATTTATCTTATTAATAGGGTGCGATAACCTCTTCTCTATACCTTCCTCATTACAAAATCTAGCAAATTCAGCAGAAGTATATTCCCCACCACCATTAGTTCTCAACTTCTTCAATTTGCATCCACTTTGTTTCTCAGCATGCAACTTGAACTTCTTGAAATATGTGAATACCTCACTCTTCCTTTCAATAAGGTAAATACACATATGTATGGTGAATTCATCAATGAAAGTAAGGAAATACTTGGCACCTCCTTTGACTTTACTTTAAAAGTTCCACACACATTAAAATGAACCAGCTCCAATTTTTGCTTTGATTTCATGGGCAAGTAATGTTTGGATGTCTTCCTAGCCTATTTTGCTTTTCATCATTCCTCACATACCTGCTTTGGTTCCTTTACATACGGCAACCCAAACACCATCTTTTTCTATTTGAGCATGCATAAACTTTTGAAGTTTAGATGTTCATACATGTGAAGCCATATCCAGTTCTTGTCTTCTTATGTAGTTGAAGCAAGACATTGATGATCTGATGTGTTGAGTTCAAATTTGAACGTTTTATTTTCTGCCAATGGTGCTTTCATTATTAGCCTTCCATCAGCCTTATATACCTTGATATAATTCTTCTCCAGCTTCATATTGAAACCTTTTGCAAGTAATTGACCTACATTTATCAAGTTACTTGTCATGGAAGGTACATACAACACTTCAGTGATAGTGGCATTTCGACCATCCTTCTTGACAATTGAAATATCTCCTTTACAACATAATTTGATGTGTCTTCCATCTGTAAACTTTATGACCTTTTCAACTGACTCATCTAACTTGGTAAACCAAATTTTATTGCCAGTCACGTGGTTGTTGCATCTTGAATCCAGATACCGCATGTTGTTTTTCTTAGTGTTTGACTGAGTGTTCGCCATCAACAACACATCATCAGAGTCACTATCTCCAGCTCGTGCATATTGAACTTAATCACTATCTTTCTCCCTTGTTACTTTCTTTCTTCGATAGTCTCAAGCATAGTGACCAAAACCTTGACAATTGTAACACTGTACCTCTTTCGAGTCAACTTTCTTACCAAAATAATTATTTTCCCCACCTTTCTTAATCGAATCAGCATTCTTGCTTGACTTCTCATCACTAGCAAGATTCTTCAACTACTTCGACTTCTCTTTTTCAGTTTTCTTGTTGAATCTTGATTGCAATGCATGTTCAGTCACATTCTCTCTTTCTGAGTTTCTCTGTTTCAACCTCATTTCATGAGCCTCCGATGAAGTTTGAAGTTCTTCCAACTTCATCTCAGATAGAGTATTGTCCTCTTCAATTGTCACTACAATGTAGTCAAAATCTGCAGTCAAAGATCGTAACACTTTCTCAATCTTCTGCAGATCTATAACTGATTCACCATATGCCTTCATCTGGTTTGTTAGCGTCACAATTCTTGAAAAATATGCTGAAATTGATTCATCTTCTTTCATCTGAAGCATCTTGTATTGCTTCCTTAGCGTATGCAACTTCACCTTCTTCAATTTGTCATCTCCACCATATAAGTTCTTTAACTTGTCTCACACTCCTTTTGTCGTTTCTTCTTCAATTATCTTCTCAAACACATCAGAATCCACACACTGATAAATCAAGAACAAGACTTTACCATCTTTCTCCTTTGATCTTTGTGCGCAGTTTTCTGAACCTTCATCACATTTGCTTCTAGTTCTGATAATCTATCATTTAAGATTTCAACAACATCTTGAAATCTGAAAATAACCTTCATCTGCTCAACCCACCACTGATAATTTTCACCTTTGAAAATTGGTAGATTCGCTGGAAACTGCGTTGACGTTGTTGTTCCGTTTGCCATTAGATTTTCTCTGAATCGCAACCGAGTTCTATGATACCAATTTATTGGAACAAAGGGTTTTCAAGAAAGATGATTTATCAAAGAGAAGAAGAAGAAGAAAAGAGAGAGAGAGAGAGAGAGAGAGAGAGAGAGAGAGAGAGAGAGAGAGAGAGAGAGAGAGAGAGAGAGATTGAAAGTTTGTTACGATTCTAACTGAACTGTAAACGTGAATTGTGATTGCATTAAGTGTCTAAAATTACAAACTAACAAACCCTTTATATAGGCATACAATGTCCAGACCCAATTCGACTATATACAAGTTATAGCCCAAAACATCTATATTTCAACATACTACAATAGCTGTTGTATTCGACTCTGTCGAATACATCTTACAACCTATTCAACTAGTTATTCAACATACACCATATATCTTTCAACAATTTAACTGAATAAAAATTCATACTTTTTAACATTTTTTTCATGTTCAAATGACAATAATGTTAATATTTTTATTAATAAATTTTGTGATGGTTATTAAGTAAATTTTTCTCTAAATTTTATGATTTTAAACAATAATGTTCTTTTGTTAAGTTTTTAGAAAATAATAATAACAATGTTTAGTTAGACTTACATTTAAAAAAAAGTAAAAGTAATGTTATTATTTTTCCATACAAAAAGGTAATATAAATTTTAAAATCTAATTGTTTTTAAGAAAAATTCATTTATTAAAAAGTTACAGGCACCATAAATAAATAACACTTATATTATAAAAGTCATAATTCATTTTAACAAGTATTTCTAGGTTAAACTTTATATTTTGAGATTAAAAAAATCAAACTTTTATACATTCTCAATTTTAGGTGAATCATTATATATTTTTATTAAATGCGAATACATTTCAAAAAAATTATTTAAATAATATAATTTACAAAAACAAATCTACATCTAGTTGATATGATTTTCCATGTACTAATGAGATGTTTGTTTGATACATTCAAATAAGATTCTTGAGAATGAGAATGTGAGGTTGGTATTTCCATGTATGTTTGTTTGAAGTTTTATCAAATTGTTGCTATGTATGTTTGTTTGAAGTTTTATCAAATTGTTCCTATCAAAAGGTGAAGATCTTTCATTCTCATGAAAATAAAAAATAATTAACTATAACTACCTACTAATATGTTAATTTAATATTTTTGTATTTATTATTAAAATTTTAAAATTATAATACAATAAATTTTCAAAATATTTCTTGCTACCTAAATAACTTACCAAATAAATTGATGGAAATTATATTTCAAATAATAAATTCTTAGAAATAACATTCCTAGAATTGTAAATTTAATCAATAAAACAAACACATCCTAATAATTTCCCATATTATATCTTTTATGGAATATTTTCAACAGATTAATGTTATATGATCTATATCAAATTGACTCAAGTATTTTAACTAGATTAATTTAAAAACAAAAAATATATCAAGAAAGTAAATCGATGTCATATATTTTTTTCATTTCCAGACTCCACCAAAACATTAACAAGTTTTTTAACTAGATTAATTTAAAAACAAAAAATATATCAAGAAAGTAAATCGATGTCATATTTTTTTTCATTTCCAGACTCCAACAAAACATTAACTGTGTAAGGTTTAAATGTTAAAAGTTTCGCCACCTTTTTCTACACAAAAACCATAATATCCTCCACCGAAGACACTAGTAATACTAGTCTGCTAAGTTTATGGTGTTTCAAATATATTTTCAACTTCTGCAATGGTGTTACGAGCATCATCAATTTCAGGGCCTTCCTTTTCCCCTGTCTCCTCCAATAACTCTGCCTGAAAGCAGACCAAAAAAATACTCGATTAGAAATTGGATTAAGCATTAGGAACGAAAGCTAAAGCTTCAATTTTGCATGCTGAAAATAATTAGTTCATAAACAAGAGAACAAAAAGCTGCAAAACATGAGAACAAAATGCCCTGCATCACACATGCAAGAATTGGTTCATAAACATGAGAGCAAAATGCCGCAACACATAACTTATACCAAATACTACAAAATGTTTAACATGCTACAAAAGAATAACCATTTTCTTTCGGTAGTGGGGTAATGCTTTCTGTTAACATGGCGGGAGTAGTTAGGCCAAACAGTGTTATTGGGGGGCTAGGTGTGAGAGCAAAATGAATAGTGTAGTGAGGGTGTAGCAGAGAGGAGCGTTGACTGCAGTAAGAGAAGTTATAATTTCTATGGTTATCTTAATAAGACTATCAGCATTAAGCTACCACTATTCTGCATTGGCAAATATAGTAATAGGAGGGGGAAGGCTAGACAAACCATAAAGAACTGAATGAATTGACGCGGATGGATACTGTCAATTGCTATATTGCAGAGTTTGAGCTCTTCTAATTGGAGTGTAATTGAGTGAGTGCTTGAAGTTCATTTCCCAACAATTTCATAAGTAAATATGTCCGAATATTTTGATTTGTGTTCCTACATTCAAACCTAAATCTCGAGACAAAGCAATGTCACATCACATGTAATAGAGCTTGGGAGATGGGTGAATAAGCTAATGGGCTCATATCACTGGAAGCACGGGATTTGGATTATATGGTTAAGGAAAAAGAAACGCTTAGAGGAGACAGTTAGTTGCCAGTGCTGAGTTGGCAAGTTTATTAGGCCATACAACATATGTAGTGAGTGAAGGGAAGAGAAATGGCTTCTCTTGGGAGATTTTGCTGAGTTTACAGATTGGTTTCCCCACTGCAATACAACTTTCTATTTCTCCTGGATTGAGTTGCAAACACCATGGCAGCAAGTGAGTATGGCCCGATAACCCAAACCCAACTCGAGCCAAAGGTTCCTATTTTTTTTTAAACAAAAGCTTTATTAAAACCTTAATCATCCATTTGTTTACAATTGGGCTTATGATCTTTTTTGAACCAAACCACCTCATTTTTTGAGCCAAAGGTTCCATAGACTCTCAAAATGCCAAAAAGTGGAACACAGAAAGTTGCATAAATCAAATTGACAAAATGTAACATGGATTGAGGGAAGGTAACCACTTTGTCCCAAAACAGAAATAATGAAAAACTAATTTTGTCACAAACAACATTAAACCATATAATGTTAGAACTTTATAAGATATCTTACTAAATCTAATTATTAATTTATAATATCTCTTAGTATTATATTTTATATTAGTTATTAATATCATGATTTATTCTTGATTTAGGATTGATTCAATGTATCCTATGAATAGGGATTTGCATTTAAGCTATTATAAACAACAAATTTCTCATCTTTTACCTAAAATTTCACAATTTAAACAATGATAAATTCACTCAGCAAACATCATTAACTAACTCATATTTGGTCCAATTACAATATGAATACATGCCAAGAGATATCATATGAACCATTAGTAAGGGATATCATATTGCAATAGGAGTATGACTAGATTATAAAGCCAAAGCATCAAATGCTGAACATGACAATGTGGTAACAGTGTCCGTGACAAGACAAAATAGCAGAAAACTAAGATATACAATAATCAAGTAAACAAGAAATATATGTACCAGTGTTCCTTTCAAGTCTTCCAAAGTGGCCTCCAGACGCTTCCGGCAGTCAGGAACCATCATCCTAGACTCAGCCAGCACATTTTCCTGTCCAATAGAAGTCAACACAATATATAAATATGTTATAGACAGTTGCCAAACACCCCAAACGTAAAAAAAAAGAGTAAAATAAATGAGACTGGAATGGCACAGCACGTCTAGTTAAAATTATGAAGTACGCTTCTTTACAAATTGGAATTGGACAAATTAAGGAGAAAAATACCATCCCTTTTTTATCAACAGTATAAGTTAATTTAAAACAGACACAGTAATCCATTCTAAACAGATCAAGTAAGAACTTAAATCTATGCATCAAGTGAGCATAATATTTTGCTTGCCTGTTGTTTGATATCATAAGGATCAGCTCCTTTGTCCTTCATGTCAGCTGTTTTGGCAGATTCTCTCAGAACTTCTTTTTCATAAGAATCTAGCTCCTTCACAAGTCGTTTGCATGTACTTGTCTTAATCTTCAGACTTCTCACTGTAGCCATTGAATCCCTATATCAAGAAACAAGCTTCAATAATTTCCAAATCTAAATAAAATAAACCACAATGCAAAGCATGGTGCTTTCTAAATCTAAAGCTATCAAATTAGTTTAGTGTTGTCATTGCTCCACATGATATCACAATCTCATGAAGGAAAACAACATATCATTTGTATATAAAACTGAACAAACAAGGTATCCAGAAAAAACCCAAACAGAACACCCCAAGAAGAAAACTTTGCCCAGAAAATCTTACAATTCCTTTAATTGTAGTTTCATTATTGTTGATTTAAATTATAGCATGATCAACGTTCAGTATTTTTCTCCCAATGACTAACACAAATTGTTAAAATTCTAACAAATTTCTTTAATAACATAGATAGCAATGACCATACACTTCAAGCAAATATGATTTTCCAACTAATTATTTCTCAGAAATAGTCTTCAACATATAAAAGTTATCATCTTAACCACATAGATCACGCAGCATAACATTTGGACCCACAATCATCAATTTAAACAAACACAGTGAAGTTTTCACAAACCAAAAGCCATGACAACTACTGAAGAATCAAGAACTCAAATTAAAGAAACAAAAAAAGAAGTTTTCACATGACAAAAGCTTAGATATACAAAGATATTCATTCATGCATTTGAACAAACAGTTGGTACACACAATTTAAATTTTGAATAAACTGTTAATTTAGTTTCAGATTATTAAGTTTTATAAATTTCAAATGCAAATTGATGCAAAAATAGACAGATAAACAAACAGCAACACTTGGAAATCGCACAAATTTTTAAAAAAAGAAAGGGAATGTTGAAACTTACAAGAATATTGAAAATGGTGCGACGAGAGTCTAGAACGGAGAAGGATTATGAGAGTGACGATTCTATTTCAGAAGCTGCTACTAATAGATCTCACTTTGGGTACCGGGTACTTTATCGGTTTTATAATTCGGGTCGGGGTTTTCCTAATTTATTGTACTTATCATAATTCCTGATACCTCAATCATTGATAAAGATATTTATAAAATTAAAGGTTAAATGCATAATTCCTCTCCTAATATAAACGAACTTCGTTTTATTCTTTTAATTTTCTTTTAAAAGTTTTTTTTTTTTTTGAAATTTTAAATAATTAAGTCTTTTATTTTTTAAGTGTAAAAATTGTTAATGTGTGAAACCTTTTTAGTGAAGAGAGAAAGAGAAAATAATAAAGAAAATAAGGATTTGTATTATTCAATTGTACAAATAATAATACACACTATGACTATTTATATATAATCCTAATTGGGTTTGGGTTAACACAACTTAGATTATATTTAAATATTAAATCTAATCTAATTTAATATTTCAACACCCCCCCTAATCCAAGTTGTCGAACATCCTTAAAAATAGTCAATCTGAATTATTCCTAATTTTTTTTCTCAAATTCAGGAATCTATCAATTTTTAATCCTTTGGTGAAAATGTCGGTCAACTGTGCTTCACTTGAGCAATGCATAACTTCAAGTTCATCTTGATTTACTTTTTCCCTTAAGAAGTGAAACATTGCTTCAATATGTTTACTTCTTCCATGCAGAACTGGATTCTTCGTCAGATTTATGGCTGACTTGTTATCGATTTGCAATACTAGAGATTTCTTCACTTCGACAGTCATTTCTTCAAGTACAGATCTAATCCAAATTATTTGACATGTAGCATAAGATCCTGCTATATATTCAGCTTCACACGATGACAATGCCACCACAAGTTACTTCTTCGAACACCATGAGATTGGGGCACCAAATACTTGAAAGAAATATCTAGTTGTGCTTCTTCGATCTTCCTTATCTCTACACCAATCAGCATCTGAAAAACAATTAATTATTGCTTTTTTGCCTTCAGAATCTCGTCGAAATAGTATCCCACAATTTATTGAACCATTCAAATGTCGAAGGATTCTTCTTGCAGCCTTCATATGTGACACTCTTGGTTCACCCATATATCTGCTTATTAATCCGACTACGAAACCTATATCAGGTCAACTGTTGCACACACACCTCAGAGATCTCACAATTTGCTTGAGCAAAGTTGCATCGACTTTGTCTTCCTCTCCATTCTTCTCCAACTTCACATTTGGTTCGACATATGAGGATGCAAGATTCGAATCATCCATTCTGAATCTCTTGAGTATCTCTTTGACATACTTTCTTTGATGTAGTACCATACCTTACTTCGACATTTGAAATTCCATACCTAAAAAATAAGACAATTTTCCTAGATCCGACATTTCAAATTCCTTCGTCATCAGCTCTTTAAACTTCGGCAAGTTCTCCAAACTATTTCCAGTTACTAGCAAGTCATCAACATACAAGCAGATGATTGTTATATCTTGTGCTACAACTTGAACATAGACACCATACTCTGATTTGCATTTGACAAATCCCAATTCGACTAAGTATGAGTCGATATTCTTGTTCCATACCCTAGGTGTCTTCTTAAGGACATATAGCGCTTTGTGCAATCTATATACTTTACTCGTTTCCTTCTGAATCACAAACCCGGGAGGTTGTGTGACATGAAATTCTTCGTCTAAAGGACCATTCAGAAATGTTGGTTTCACATCTAGATGGAATGTCGACCAACCTTGGTTGCATACAAATGTTACCACTAGTCGAACAATCTCTAATCTTGCTACTGGAGAAAATACTTCAGAGTAGTCGAGTCTTTCTCTTTGAAGAAAACCTCGAGCTACTAATCTTGATTTATGTCTTGCTATTGACCCATCTGCATTGTGTTTCAATTTGAACACCCATTTTACTTTGATAGCTTTTGTATGTGCTGGCAATTCGACTAACTCCTATGTGTTGTTTCTTTCGATTGCATGTAACTCTTCGATCATAGCTAACTTCCACTTGTTAATCTTCAAAGCTTCGCTATAGTTGATTGGTTCAGCACCTGCAAGTAAAGCAAAATGAACTAATTCTCCATCTGGTGTGATTTCATCATCACCCACCACTTTATGTCGGGAGTTTCAGCAACTGCATCTTCTTCGACTTCGACTGGATTCTCAACAATTCCTTCGATCTCTACTTCATCAGTTTCCTCTTCGAAATCAAAGTTCATTAATGGCTTTTTGCTAGAATTCAAATCCCATGCAGAATTTTCATTAATCACAATATCTCGACTCAATATAATCTTCTCATTAACTGGATTGAATAGTCTGTATGCACCAGTTTTAGGATATCCTACCAGAATCATAGGTTCACTCTTGCCATCAAGCTTCCTTCTACTTACATCAGGGACATGCTTGTAACACATAGAGTCAAACACCTTCAAATGACTTACTGATGATCGTTTGCCACTCCATACTTCTTCAGGAACCTTGTTCTTCAATATCTTAGTAGATCACCTATTTAAAATATAAACTGCAGTCAAAACAACTTCTCCCCATAAAGACTTTGGCAAATTCTTTTGCTTCAGTATGCATCTCGCCATATCTAATATGGTTATGTTTCTTCTTTAAGCAATTCCATTATGTTGAGGTGTATAGGGAGCAGTTATCTCATGATCAACACCATATTCTGCACATAAATCTTCAAACATCTTGGATGTGTATTCACACCCTCCATCTGTTCGGAGAACTTTGATCTTCTTCTCACTCTGGTTTTCGACAAGTATCTTGAATCTCTTAAAGATTTCAAATACTTCATCCTTTCGTTTGATCACATAAATCCACAGCTTTCGACTAAACTCATCAACAAACGAAACAAAATATATGCTTTAACCAATTATATATTCTTCGAATGGACCACATACATCTGAATGCACCACTTCGAGAATGTAGGATGATCTCATTGACATAGTCGAAACGAAAGAATTTCTGGATTTCTTTCCCACTAAACAACCTTCATAAAGTTTTTCAGGCATCTCAAGACTTGGAATACCAGTAACCATATCTTGAGTAATCAGTTGATTAACTGGTTGAAAGTTTAAATATCCAAATCTCAAGTGCCACAACCAACTATCCTTGTGGTCGACAACAGTTTTCAAACATTTAACTTATGTCGAACTGATCATAGTCTTAAATATCCTATTCTTCGACAATGGAGATTTTAAGATCAAATTGTTCTTGGTGTCGAACAATTTCAAAACTCCATCTTTTATGACAACTGAGAAACCTTTTTCGACTAGTTGTCCAAAACTTAGCAAGTTGCATTTCATTCCAGGTACATAGAGAATATCTTTGATCATAGCTTTCCCTCCACTACTCATTTGAAAGACTATGTTGCCAGTACATTCTGCTTGCAACGAACTATTATCAGCAAGTTTTACCTTGCTCTTCTTCGACTCGTCAAAATCTGCCAACCACTCCTTTCGACCAGTCATGTGGTTCGAGCAGCCTAAGTCGAGAAACCAGATCTTGGATTCGACATGGTTATCTTCAACTGCAGCCATAACCACCATACCACCTTCAGAATCATCTGAATCTTGGCGTGCAAGGTTCACTTCGTCATCCTTGCCTTTCGATCACTTGTCTTTTTTGTACCAACAATTCTTGGTCAAGTGTCCCCACTTTTCACAGTTATAACACTGCATACCTTTCTTATCTTATTTGTCCTTTCGATAGTTTCCTCCTCCCCTTTTCGAGGATTCAAAAGATCTATCTTCTACTTTATTCTTATAGGTATTCGACCAAGACTTCTTTCCATGAGTCTTGTCGAACTTGCCTTTGTTGAAATCGCCATCCTTTTTCCATGATTGAGCTTGCAATGCCAGTATCGAGTCCTAAACTCCTTTCCTTTCGACAATCCTCATTCATGTGCCTCCAACGAACCAACCAAATATTTCACTTTAGTGGTTTCAAGATTTTTGGATTCTTGAATAGCTACCATAACGTGATCAAAGTGAGAGGTCAATGTTCTTATTACCTTCTCAACTATCATCTTATCAGTAATGGTTTCACCACAACCCTTCATGAGATGGACGAGTTTCTGAACCTTCGACAGATATTCTGCAACTTTT